AAAGGTACTGTGTGTGTGTGTGTGTGTGTGTGTGTGTGTGTGTGTGTGTGTGTGTGTGTGTGTGTGTGTGTGTGTGTGTGTGTGTGTGTGTGTGTGTGTGTGTACTCACCTAATTGTACTCACCTAATTGTGCTTGCGGGGGTTGAGCTCTGGCTCTTTGGTCCCGCCTCTCAACCGTCAATCAACTGGTGTACAGATTCCTGAGCCTATTGTGCTCTATCATATCTACATTTGAAACTGTGTATGGAGTCAGCCTCCACCACATCACTTCCTAGTGCATTCCATTTACTAACTACTCTGACACTGAAAATGTTCTTTATAATGTCTCTGTGGCTCATTTGGGTACTCAGCTTCCACCTGTGTCACCTTGTGCGTGTACCACCCGTGTTAAATAATCCATCCTTGTCCACCCTGTCAATTCTCCTGGAAATTTTGCATGTGATGATCATGTCTCCCCGAACTCTTCTGTCTTCCAGCGACGTGAGGTACAGTTCACGCAGCCTTTCCTCGTAACTCATGCCTCTTAGTTCTGGGACTAGCCTAATGGCATACCTCTGAACTTTTCCCAGCTTCGTCTGTGCGAGCGTGCGTGCGTGCAAGCATCAGTACACGAAGACTAAACAAAATAAACAAGAGCTGACCTGGATGGGGGGAGCATTAGACTCTGAGAAAAACCACGTTCCTGGAGCTCGCAGTGTTAAAAAGTTTATGCTGACTATTACTGCCCCCAGAAGAAAAGAAGAGGTTGAAATATATTGTGCAGACACTGCCTCTGTTGCCAGTGTCTGTTGCAACGGCTTCATTTACAATATTACCCTTACCAGTGTCTGTTTCAACGGCTTCATTTACAATATTACCCTTACCAGTGTCCGTTTCAACGGCTTCATTTATAATATTACCCTTATTATCATCCTTATATTTACCAATCATTATCAGTACCATTATCATTATCATTATTTAATTCAACATTTGCTCGAGGCATGAATGGAAGCATTCGCCCCCGGCCCCCATGCGAAGATTTCACTTAATTAAATGGTCAGAATGCTTTTGTTGAAGCAACGCAAAAACTGATTTAAATTAATGGTGAGACACAGGAGTGTAGAGAAGGGGTAGTACCAGAGAGGGGGTGAGGGGCCCATCATGACCGAGGGCTGCTCCACCTCTCTCACCCGGTATTAACCAAGACCAATGGTACTACAGGCCGACGCCTTTGTCACCTCTGGTTTATAGTGATCTAAATGTATTGTCTCTAGTTTATCCAACATGGCGCCCGTCTCCCTGACATGGCGGCCGTGTTTCCCAACATGGCGGCCGTGTTTCCCAACATGGCGGCCGTGTTTCCCAACATGGCGGCCGTGTTTCCCAACATGGCCGCCGTATTTCCCAACATGGCGGCCGTGCTTCCCAACATGGCGGCCGTGTTTCCCAACATGGCGGCGGCCGTGTTTCCCAACATGGCGGCCGTGTTTCCCAACATGGCGGCGGCCGTGTTTCCCAACATGGCGGCCGTGTCCCCCAATAAGGCGTATTAACTCTGGCAAGACCACTCAACCCGCGTATTTCGAAGGTAAGAGGTTATCGCCAGCGCCCACCGGCGGACATTTGAAGGCAGTTGCCACTGCCGCTATAAACCACCGCCAGCTTACGAGGTCCCGGCTCGTTTAAGTGCAGCGCCGACAATATATAACACCAGCGACTTATATTTACGATATTGTTTGTTATATAAGTCTCTTCCCAGGACGCGGGGGCAACAGCAGAGTCACGCCGCCGTCCTGGGTTATGAATGTGGCAGTGTGGGGCTGGCCGCCATCTTTACCAGCGGACCCCCCTAGTGTAGGGAGCGGGGGTGTACTGCCTTTTAGCGGGAACACAGAATGTCTTCTACTGGGGGGAAGGGTCTTACACTACTGGGGGAGTGTCTTACACTACTGGCGGGGTGTCTTACACTACTGGCGGGGTGTCTTACACTACTGGCGGGGTGTCTTACACTACTGGCGGGGTGTCTTACACTAATGATGCAATATAATAGCTTAAAGGGGTCACGGACTGACAGAGGGAGCAGGTTACAGAGGGGACACAGCAGTTGAAACACAAGCTTTTGTAGTGGGGGATTTAAGCCACTCGGCAACAGATTGGGTGAATCTTAACACCACAAATCAAAGGAGAGCAATTTCCTGACCTAATACAGACAACTTTCTCAGCATGTGACAGAGTCCACCCCGAGCTAACAGCATTCTAGATCTTATGCTAAATGGGGGGTCTTCTTCTTTTGAAGAAGACCCCCCTATTTTGATAGATCTTTGGCAATCTACTCATACAAAAGACTTTCAGAAGATTTGGTGTAAATGGACTCCTCTAAAACATTTTTTAACGACTGACACAGAACTTGCAAAAACATGCAATAAGTGACGAAACGATGATTAGAACAAACACAGCAAACTGTAGTCCTAAATGGAGATGAAGTTGACTCAAAATGTTGGGAGTGGTGTACCACAGGGTGACGCCTCATACTTACTGTAAATATATAGCTCTTGTAATAGCACTTTCTCTGTAACTAGCTGACATTGTAACTATAAGGTGTGAAGGATAGATGAAATTGTTTATGTAATAATCTAAGATGAGGTCTGATAAACACCTTTTGTGCCCTCTGTAATGCTTTTGCGCTACCGCTCACAGGATGAGTATGGGGTGCACAATAAACTAGCCGCCTTCGGTGGCAACAATAAAAAAAACTCTAATAATCTCCACCAACTGACTCACAGTTCGTGTTGGAGAATATGTTGTTGTTGATGCTGCACTTCCAAGAGACACACACGAACACAATGACGTGTTCTCAAGCATTAGTGACAATAGACCAATAGTTCGTGACAGATGAACAACCCAGCGGGTTTTCTTCCTATTGGGGAGTGTTGTACATGCTGCTATGGCGGTATATCCACTCACAGGATGTGTGGCGCTGCCCAATAAACTCGCCCCTCGGGGCAAAAATTTAAAATTTAGAAATTTAATAGGTCACATATCGACACTAACTCATACAGTGAAGGATGACAGTGCAGCAACGCGCATGTCAACATAAACAGTCACCAACAACAACAACAACAACAGTTTACCAATGTTAAGTTAACATTGCCAGGCTTTCCACGTTAATACATGACACCTTAAATTGTAAACCATTTAGAACCTTTCAATTTTTTTAATTTATTTTTCTGGTCGCTTTTTTAATTTTTCTCAGGTTTTAGGCCTTATGCCAAAAACGGGTTAGGTTATTCAATAACCTATGTTCCCCCAGGACACGATTTGCTAATATATTTACATGGAGGTTTCCAATTACACGGGGTTCCAAGTAGTTACAGACCATTATATGCAAACTAGGCTATATATGAAAGTCTATGGCGTTATAAACACGGATTGTCGCAGGTCTGGTAATAAGTGCTTGTCTAATTCACTTTAAACGTTTTTACTATACCAATACTGTATGGTACAGTATTACAGTATCTCCTGTATACCGGACGAGATATACAGTATCTCCTGATAAGCTGTTTCATATCTTAATCACTCGATTACAGAAGCACTTAACCGCATTAGAGGTGCAGAGGGCCGAGCAGTAAAGGACTGGCTACATAAAAGTCTCTTCCCTTCCAGTTCTTATAACAAAAGTTCAAGAAATGTGTAAATATTTCGTTCAAAATGATCCTGTAGCAGACATCCATCAGTCTCTGGAGACTAAGGAGTTGTGCTCTGGTTATCGGTCTGGAGTAGCCTCTCCAGGACGCAATGCCTAGGTAGGTTGATACGAGGATCTACTAGGAGTAGAGATTTTTAAATCGTATTTGAATGAAATTATAGATTTATAAATTAATCTGTAATTTATAAAGCTGTATAAATTATACAGCTTCTCCCAAGATGAGTAAATTGTTCAGCTTCTCCCAAGATGAGTAAATTAAACAGCTTTTCCCAAGATAAGTAAATTATTCAGCTTCTCCCAAGATGAGTAAATAATACAGCTTCTCCCAAGATGAGTAAATTATACAGCTTCTCCCAAGATGAGTAAATTATACAGCTTCTCCCAAGATGAGTAAATTATACAGCTTCTCCCAAGATGAATAAATTATTCAGCTTTTCCCAAGATGAGTAAATTATACAGCTTCTCCCAAGATGAGTAAATTATACAGCTTCTCCCAAGATACAATGAATAAATTATGCATCTTGCAAGATTTCCATAGAAAAAATATACAGCTTCTCCCCCCCCCAAAAAAAAATCAAGTGACTGCATATCGGAAAGATTTAATCAAATACGATCTTTTTCTCCTTAATTAATCATTTTTTTTTGTCCTTTATGTATCCAATTTTTTTTTGTAATAATAATAATTTGGAGGACGGTGGAGAGAGGCCTTGGAGAGGCCTACGTCGTGAACAACGCACTCCCAGGGACAACGTCAGATGAACGATGATTCAAGATGGAACCAACGCCTTAACTTAGGCATTGTGGCCCAACGGGTTCCGGCCCTTACACAGCGAAACACATAAAGGTATGTTTACCTGTGGCAGGTACTGTGGCCAGTACTGGGTTGTTGTTGTTGTTGTTTCAGATTTAGCTACTCAGAACGAAGTGTCCATGTAGCACGGGCTATGGTGAGCCCGTAGCACAGTACTGGCCACAGTCAGGCGAGCTTTTCATGTAGTTATGCCTCAAGGTATAAGTCTAGCCTACCTGCTCCTAACTACCTGATCTTACCTGCTTATATTGGGCCGCCTCGAGGCTTGGCCGCTTGTGTCTACAGTATACACGTGGGAGACAGTTATAACAAGGACCCACCAAACACACACCGTAACCACATCGTTAATTTGAGTTACGTTAGCAGTGAGTTACGTTAACGCGTCAAATACGCCGTGTGTGTGTGTGATGGGGGAAGGGGGGGGGGGGTGAGTTAGGTTTATAATTTCTAGATAAGTCTAGCTGCCACGTGGCTAGGAAGTGGAATAGAGGAGGGTGTACTTACCGTCCGAGGTGTCCGCTCTGACCAGCGTCTGGCTGCTTCCTGAAGACTGCTGCCTGGCGTGGTGGGTGTGGTGGACGTGGTTGTGGTGGCCGTGGTTGTGGTGGGCGTGGTTGTGTTGTTGCTGGGCGTAGTGCCGTTGTTCGGGTGGTGTGGGCGAGGGGTGGGCGGCCTGCGGGTGGCTGTCGTGGCCCGGGTAGTGCTGCGGGGGCATGGGTGGGCGTGGGAGGGGCGGGGCCCGCTGGTGCGGGTCCTCGTGGTTGTGGTACTGGGCCCCCACCGCGGGCCCCCACTGCACGCCCCACTGACTCATCTCCTCGTCCGTTTGGTTCTGCTCGTCCTTGGTGTTCTTCCTGCGGTCCTTCCTCAGGCTGCCGGCCTCCCTGCGGCCTCCTCCTCCTCCTCCTGCCTCATACCGCTCCTCCTTCCCGTCCTGCTGGCTGCTGCTGCTGTCTGCTCCGGTGGTCAAGCCTACCTGCTGAGTGCTGTTGCTGCTGCGCCTGCTGCTGCCGCTGCTGGCGCCCTCCGGCACCTGCAGGGAGGAAGAGGTCTTGCCGCTGCTGGCCAGCTGCAGGTCGCTGGCTATGGAGAGCTCCGTCTGGCTGCTTTTGCTGGTGACAGCCGGTCTGCTGGCGTAAGATCCGGCCCGCTTGTCGTAGGTGTCCGCACCTGAGAGGTTGTTCTTGCCCTCGTCGTTGTTGTGGCCGCTGTACGGCGACTGGTTGTTGCGACCGTCCGTCGCCGCGTAGCTGGAGAGCGCAGTCGTTCTGGCGCTGCCGCCGTACTTGCCGGTGTTGGTGAGGATGCCCTTGGTGACGGTGGGTCTGTTGTGGTTGGCCTCGGGCGGCGGGTACGACCGCCGGTTGTTGTACAGCTCGCTGGAGGTGAAGTAACCCTTGTTATTGCTGCGTTTCAAGCTGTTCTGCCCCCGCGTCGTGTACTCCGACGACCTGCCGCTGTAGCCGTTGCTCAGCACGCAGTTGTCGAAGCTCCTGGGCTCCCGGTCGTCGTAGTCGTCGGCAGCGGGCGGGTAGCCCCGTAGGCTCCTGTAGTTAGAGGCTGGAGAGCCGTAGTCTCCTCTACTGGAGGCGGAGTAGCCTCTACCCTGCTGTGTCGCCCTGCCGTTGACGGCGCGCTTCTCGACGCTTCTATAGAGGGCGTCGACGGGGGCGTTGCGCGCCTGGTGGTGCTGGCGGGAGTAGTCGCGTCGCTTGAGGGAGTCCCTGGAGTAGGGTGCTGCAGCTGCTGCTGCTGCTGTAGGGGCGTGGGCGGGTCTGTGGCTCTCCCCCAGGGACGCGCGGTGGCCCCCTGCCGTGGCGCTGTGGACACTGCGGCCGGGCGAGGCGGCGGGCGCCAGGCTGTGTGTACTGGACCACTTCCCTGTGGAGAGGCGGGGGGCGCTGGGGGGGCTGAAGCCGTACACCTTCTCCTCGCCCCCCCGGTCGTCCCTCAGGTCGTCCCCGGCGTCGTCGCCTCCGTCGTGGTAGACGCCGACGCCCGCCACGTCGCTGACGCTGTAGATGCCGCCGCGCACGTGTCCTGGGTCCTCATATATGCCCCAGTCCGTGCGCATCCTGATGCTCTTGTAGGAGCCCGTCTCCCTGCCACCATAGGCTCTCCTCGGTTCCTCTGGGCTGTATCTATCCGCGCCTCGCATCCACACACCCTCTCAGGGCCGCACACACCTGCTGGGGGCCCACACACACCTGTTGGGGCCCACACACCTGATGGGGGGTCCACAAACGCCTGCTGGAGCCGACACACGCCTGCTGGGGCCGACACACCTGCTGGGGCCGACACACCTGCTGGGGGCCCACACACCTGCTGGGTCCCACACACCTACTGGGGCCTACACACACGCCTGCTGTGGCCCACACACCTACTGGGGCCCACACACGCCTGCGGTGGTTCACACACCTGCCGGGGCCCACACACACACCTGCTGGGGCCCACACACGCCTGCTGTGGTTCACACACCTGCTGGGGTCCACACACACCTGCTGGGGCCCACACTCACCACCTGTTCACCCACAGGAGGCTTCCAGCTTCAGGCCGTCACCACACATGCCCCCAGGAGTGATGGCAGCCCTTCACTCTCCTGGAAAAGAAAAACGAAGTCATTATAGTCGCTGTCTATACTGTGTGTACAGAAGCCCAGGGGGCCAGATTCACGAAGCAGTTACGCAAGTACTTACGAACGTGTACATCTTTCCTCAATCTTTGACGGCTTTGTTTACATTTATTAAACGGTATACAAGCATGAAAACTTCCCAACCAACTGTTGTTATTGTTATAAACAGCCTCCTGGTGCTTCGGATTTTATTAACTGTTTAATAATTGTAAACAAAGCCGTCAAAGATTGAGGAAAGATGCACACGTTCGTAAGTACTTGCGTAACTGCTTCGTGAATCTGGCCCCTGATTACGGGCTATTCATGCCCGTGCCACCTCTTGGGTGGCTTAATCTTCATCAATCATCAGGAGCCCAGCCTCTTGAAATGTCAGTACTTACACCAACAATTTGGTGGAACGTGCAAAAAAATAACTGTTGGATGCCCCCCCCCCCCAAAAAAAAAAGTTCACCTCTTTTGTAATGTTGAATTTTGTGGAGAACACGAAAAAAAAGCAAAACTTAATCATTCCTAGGTCTAGTATAGCACATATATATAATATATTAGGCCTAAGATAGCATATATCAGGCCTAAGATAGCATATATCAGGCCTAAGATAACATATATTAAGCCTAGGTTCTTTAGCCACTTTTTCCATTTTCTATAATGTCATTTTGGCTAATTGAATTAGGTCAAAACGTGAACATTTTACAACACTCCATTTGTGTACGTTTTCTGTAGCCATCAATGAGTACGAGCACTACCATTACTGGAGGACAGACTCACATAAACACCATGAACCCCCACCACAACCACCACCACCACCACCGGTTAAAAATATCTTACCGTAACATGAACAAATCCACAAGGGGCGTGACGAGGATTCGAACCTGCGTCCGAGAGCATCCCAGACGCTGCCTTACCGTAACATGTCTATATGAAGGATCGAGAAGACAATAATATACTCTTAAGTCAACCCCGTTTTCTCAAAACTAATAGCTCGCGTATTGTTTTGTTTACGTTCTCGCAATTAACGTTACTAATGGAATATATTAAGAAAATTAACGAAATAGCCACGTTTTCTATGCCAAGGATTTGGTGGGTTAGGTTGATTGCTAGCGTTCGTACGTGTTAAAAGGTTGGATTAATGCAGCATAGGACAATTAACCCGCGTGTTAACTAACCCGCGAGTCTACCCGGACCCGTCCACCGCCAATGTGTCCTTACCCGCTACGCTTACTTCAATCAAGACGGCAAAGTAACCTTAAAAGTCCCTTCATACTGGATTACATAAACATTGTTGCGATACGTGAGACAACTCAAGTTAGCTGAGACTGACGTCCAGCTGGGATACTAGAGCTAGGCAGGTTCAATCCCAGCAACGGTAATATTAGGCATAAATGTGTCTCTCGCTGGGCTCCCAGGAGTAAATCACAGCTCAAAACGGCTCCCAGGAGTAAATTACAGCTCAAAACGGCTACCCAGGAGTAAATCACAGCTCAAAATGGCTCCCAGGAGTAAATCACAGCTCAAAACGGCTCCCAGGAGTAAATCACAGCTCAAAACGGCTACCCAGGAGTAAATCACAGCTCAAAATGGCTCCCAGGAGTAAATCACAGCTCAAAACAGCTCCCAGGATTAAATCAAAGCTCAAAACGGCTACCCAGGAGTAAATCACAGCTCAAAACGGCTACCCAGGAGTAAATCACAGCTCAAAACGGCTACCCAGGAGTAAATCACAGCTCAAAACGAATCTCCTCCATGAAACTATCCCTGAATTCAACTTCAAAATGCTCTGATCTAAATTCTAAACGCGGCAGTAACTATTATTCTTATTCTTAGATGTAAAGAACAAAATATAAAAGAATTAAACAATTTTAGAAAGCGTTAAAATAGCCTATTTCAATTATTTTGCCATATTATCTTCGATATTATGTATTAAAGCAATATTTTGACATATTATCTTCGATATTATGTATTAAAGCAATATTTTGACATATTATCTTCGATATTATGTATTAAAGCAATATTTTGACATATTATCTTCGATATTATGTATTAAAGCAATATTTTGCCATATTATCTTCGATATTATATATATTAAAGCAATATTTTGACATATTATCTTTGATATTATATATTAAAGCAATATTTTGCCATATTATGTTCGATATTATGTATTAAAGCAATATTTTGACATATTATCTTCGATATTATATATATTAAAGCAATATTTTGACATATTATCTTTGATATTATATATTAAAGCAATATTTTGCCATATTATGTTCGATATTATATATATTAAAGCAATATTTTGACATATTATCTTCGATATTATGTATTAAAGCAATATTTTGACATATTATCTTCGATATTATATATATTAAAGCAATATTTTGACATATTATCTTTGATATTATATATTAAAGCAATATTTTGCCATATTATGTTCGATATTATGTATTAAAGCAATATTTTGACATATTATCTTCGATATCATATATATTAAAGCAATATTTTGACATATTATCTTCGATATTATATATTTAAGCAATATTTTGCCATATTATCTTCGATATTATATATTAAAGCAATATTTTGCCATATTATCTTTGATATTATATATTAAAGCAATATTTTGCCATATTATGTTCGATATTATATATTTAAGCAATATTTTGCCATATTATCTTCGATATTATATATTAAAGCAATATTTTGCCATATTATCTTCGATATTATGTATTTAAGCAATATTTTGCCATATTATCTTCGATATTATGTATTAAAGCAATATTTTGCCATATTCGATATTATATATTAAAGCAATATTTTGCCATATTATCTTCGATATTATGTATTAAAGCAATATTTTGCCATATTATGTTCGATATTATATATTTAAGCAATATTTTGCCATATTATCTTCGATATTATGTATTAAAGCAATATTTTGCCATATTCGATATTATATATTAAAGCAATATTTTGCCATATTATCTTCGATATTATATATTAAAGCAATATTTTGCCATATTATCTTGGATATTATATATTAAAGCAATATTTTGCCATATTATCTTCGATATTATGTATTAAAGCAATATTTTGCCATATTCGATATTATATATTAAAGCAATATTTTGCCATATTATCTTCTGTATATTCTTTAACTTTTTTAAGCTAAGCAGTATATGCTTCTATTATTATTAGTATTGTGTTTTATTAACTGTAAATTTAGGCTATAGTGGTCGCGTGAACCACAGTTCGACTCCCGGGGAGAGCGAGGCGTCTGGGCCCCCTACACCCGATACATCTGTTCACTTTAGCGGTAAATAGGTATAATATCCGGAACATTAAGTAGTCTATATTAGGAGTTGTATTTTGGGAACGTCAAATGTTGAACGGACGCCCCATTTTTATGGGGGGGGGGAGACGTCAAATGTTTTTTGATCACTATTTGTAGTGACTATTTTATAATGTTTGTTCAATAATAATAATAATAATGAGAAAATCCGTAGGAGCCGTGATGAGGGTTCGAACCCATGCGGGGTGTGTTCTCAATGCAAGTCTTAGGTTCGAGCCCTCATCACGGCTCCTACGGATTTTTTCATTGGTACATCACGTTAGTGTGATTACTCCCTGTGTAATAATAATAATAATAATAATAATAATAATAATAATAATAATAAATCAATCACAATCTCTCCCTCTTACTTTCATTCGGTGACGAGGCACTTAGTATTTAGTAAAGAAGAAGATGATTGAGAAGAGTCCCGTCTGGTCTCCTTAATCACAGGAGCAGCGGGGAGGAGGAGGAGGAGGAGTCTGGCAGCACCAGCGGCCTTCATTAATGTGTACGTATTCATGCGAATTCTCCTTTCAGGAAAATACCGTCTTCCTAATTAAAACACAAATGGCTTCATTTCCAATCCACATTTTTAATGTCCAAGGGTTTTTTATACTGACGTTCACATTGAAAACTGCCGGCAATAATATTTTTCACGGCCAGAGTTTTCCAGATAAAGGGTTCACATATCGCACAGACTACCTACAATAATATTGGAGACCTTTGAAGGGAAACGCTCAACAAACATGCCAAATCTACATCATCTGCTGCAACGAAAAATCAAATATATTTCACGATGTAAACGAACAATATTTGTGTTGAATTCTGAGTACGTCAACCCACTTGGTCTGGTCGGGGGAAGGGACCTCGTTTCTTGCAAGGTCGGCGTTCGATCCCCTATAATCCAAGCGGTTGGGTATTGTCTTTATATTTCAGCTCCGTGGCGTCATACCCACTTGCAAGTGATGCTAGCCTAGCGCTCTATAGTAACAATTCCCGCCAAACACACACACTGAAAATACGACGTTGGTACAACGTTCGAACAAGTTTTAACACCTAACCAGTTGTAACAACCAATATAGCAAGTTGTAACAACGTTCTAATACGAAATAAACACGTTCAACCAAGATGTAACAACTTTATTACAAGCGATGAGTCACAATAACGTGGCTAAAGTATGTTGACCAGACTACACACTAGAAGGTGAAGGGACGACGACGTTTCGGTCCGTCCTGGACCATTCTCAAGTCGATTGACTTGAGAATAGTCCAGGAGGGACTGAAACGTCGTCCCCTGGAAACAGAAACCGAAACTGTCTCTATTTTCTGCTTGTTACAACTTGTAATAAAGTTGTTACATCTTGCCTTAACGTGTTTATGACGCATTAGAACGTTGTTACAACTTGCTACATTGGTTGTTATAACTGGTTAGGAAGTGTTAAAACTTGTTCGAACGTTTTACCAACGTCGTAGTTTCGGTATGTGTTTAGCGGGTCGTCCCTTCACCTTCTAGTGTGGTCTGGCCAACAACTTTATTACAAGTTGTAACAAGCGGAAAATAGAGACAGTTTCAGTTTGTGTCCAGGGTTCCGACCAGGACGTCAGGACATGCAACCATCATCTTATCTTGAGGTTAT